AAAAAAAAAAAAAAAAACAACAAAGATGCTTGGCCCCATCCTTGGGCAGATTCAGGTCTAGGGTAAGGCCCAGGGGTTGGTTTTCAGTTGTCCCAGGTGCTTCCAGTGATGAGCAGCCACCATGGGTGGGAAGTCACTGTGATAGCTCAGGATAGAGCTGATAATTAATGTGGGGTTAACACTGTAGCCTTGCCAGCGAGGGACAGTGAAAACCAGCAGAGGACCATCCTAAGCACTTATTAAATCACCCCAGGTCAGCAGAGATGCCTGGGGGGACCCTCCGCTGGGTCAACATGCATAGAATAGCACTCTCTCGTTCAACATTGGCACTCCCCTGCCCGGGATGTCTTCCAGATTGAAAAGGGAGCATGTGGGGATGTCTGTCAAGGAAAAACACAAAGCCGTGGAGTGTCTGCACACCCGGGGAAAAACAACACCTCGACCGGGAAGTGAGAGGTCTCTTGGAAACAACCAAGAGAGTTTAATGCAACGAGACCTTGAGCAGAATGGAGGCCTTAACTTATTAAAACCTGCCTCCCTCCTCATTCAAACTCAACATTGGTCTAACTTTTCCCCCAAAACAAGATTCTTTCCCCTTCAGGTATAGATAATTGCTTTCCTGTCGTGCTGGCTCTCACAGGATTAGATTCCATTATTTTTAAAAGAGAGTGTGCAGCAATCAAGGAAAATCAATATTGCTCCAATTCTAGAAGACAAGCTGGAGACGCCAGAAGAAGACACTCCCTTGGGCCATGACAGCGTCCTCTGAGTGTCAAACACAGGCTGATGAGCAGCGCCGAGCCTGGCTCAGGAGGCTCGTGGGTAAGGATCAATATAAACCTTTGTGCTACACAGTAAGAAAAGTCCACCACGCTCAATACCCTCCCCACTGCCGCCGCCGCTGCCGCCAGCAAGCTGCACCACGACAAAACAAAAGCCTAAGAACAAGCTCATGCTTCAGGTGCATGGTGGAGATCTCGGCTATGTGTAGATGGGAGGCGAAGGTCAGACATACACTCAGGTCTGGGCAGTGAGATCCAGGCGGAGGGCAGAAAATGTGGTTGGAACAGGGAGCTTTGCAATGCACACAGTGACTGCTGGTTTGTTTATTCATTACATTTGGGTTCTGGAAGCGCCCCTTACTGAGGGTCTGAACAGCCTCTGGCCTTATGTCAAGGCCTGCAGATGGGCTTCCTCTGGCTGGACAAAGAGAACCAGCACATGTTATTTTCCAAATTGATGATATAGATGTGGATGGCCCATATCTAGATCCCCCTGCTTAGGAGGATGTGCTCACTGCCTGAGGCTGTGGGTGCTGGGAGCACCTTGCTCTGATCAGATAGAAATGGCCTTACAGCACCAAGAATTTCTCAGGAAGTTACGTCTTCCTGTAGGAAGGGCTCTGAGGTAGGCGAAGGGTGTGGTACTCTAAGACCCCAGCCTTCTCATCTGTGAGTGGGACAAACTCTGGCGATCAACCCACTCTGCAGAGCTCCCCATGTGATTGGCTGAGGTTGGAGTACTTTTTAAGCCACATCTCCCGTCTCCCCTCCATTTTCCCTAGCTTCCCTCACTCCCATACAGTTTCTCCTGAGGCTTTTCCCTCAATCCATTACTGGCAGGACCACCATCCCAGCCTCTGCCCGGAAGGAACCCACCACACTGTCGCACAGTTCCAGAGGGGAGAGGCCCTGGCTTCCAGGGACCCCAAGGCCAGGGGGTCAGAGGTAGACATCGGAGTGGCTGTACCTGAGTGCACAGTGCTCTGACGAAGCTCTTCATGGCCAGACTTCCTACTCTTTCCCGACTGCCCTGAGCCTGCCCACTCTCCGCTCTCCTCACCTGCCCAGTTCTCAGTGAAATTCTCTAAGCACCAAGAAAGGCCTTTCTCATTGTCGGCCTATGGAACATGCGCTCCCTCTGCACCCCACACCTTTATTCGGTTCATATCTCTGTAGCATTTAAGCCTTAGCTTCACTGTTTTCATTGGGGGCATATTCCCTGACCCTGAGGCCAAGTTATGGGGTCATATTCATGCTTCCATAGAC